ACAGTTATAAGAAGCAACTGAAAATATATAATAAAAATATATACATTTTAAATTGTGATAAATCCATCCATTTATGTATTAGCAAAAGTAGAGATGATATTGTACATGTATGTGTTTAATTTATCACAGTATGATACAAAATACTAATACAAATATTAGATCAACATTTAAATAATTTTTTTAATAAAAGGGAAATCTAAAACTTCTAACTATTATAGGATGAAGTATTTGAATTTCTTTAAAATTGGTGAAAGTTGACTATGTTCTTTTCAGGTTTTACTGTGATTTTTTTAAAGCTTTCTCTCTGGTTAAATATATATATAATCAAAAATAACTTTGAAACAGACCAAGAATAAAGTAAATTTAAAGGTATAGTGGAGGATTTTCATGAATTTTTTAAAAGATCCGCCCTCACTACTTTAAAAAAAATACATATGCACAACCCTGTACCCGCTTCCGAGAGATAACGCCTATTAAACTCGTGCGAGGGCATGCAGGAGCACATTTATCACGCTCTGTTTAAAAGTTGCTGTTTGCATCGCAGATACAAGCTTACTTCTCAAAAAAAGATTTGCAATTTTTCCCACTAAGTCAGACTCACCACTGTTAAGTGAAAATGGGGACGAGCACGTAGGACGGCCTTACGTAAACATATCACAAGAATGATTGACAATTAGGAGGACTAGTTATTTTGCTGATCCACACGACAAAAGAAGGTCCTCCACTATACCGTTACATACCTTAAAATTTAAGATAATCAAATTAATTTAACCGAAAATGTATAGTATATTCTTACAGCTTGAAGATGCATAAAAACAGATTTTTTGTTGCTCTGATTATGTTACAAAGGCTTAAGCAAAATGATGGAATAGTAACTAAATTAAGGGATTTGCTTATGGAGCACCAATAGTATTTATTGTTGTTGTTCATTTTAAGCTAGTGCAATTTATTTATATGTTGTATATATACAAAAGTACATTATTTATATATTCTTTTTCTATATACTAGCTAACCAGTCAGTTTACCTGTTTAGGTAGCTTCACACTGTCTGCTTCTTATATTACCTGTAGCTTTGAACCAGGGTTACCTTAATATGATTAATAAGTTGCATCTATTTGATTTCTACGCAGCCGTTGTTATTTAAATACTTCTTCACAGCCAAGTTGTTTTTTTCAGCCATTATTCCCTCCACCCCTCCTAACAAAAATCCATGTATTAGGTTCTATATTCGATTTCTTTTTTTTTTTATCTCCATAAACCTGCTTCGCACTTCATTGCTCTTATACTTCACACATATCATGACCCGTTTTCTTTATATTTGTATGTGTGCTGTGAACAGCTCAAGCAAATTATCCAACATGTTCAATACATAATGAGTCATTCCATGAGAATGGGTAAAATTGGACTTGGACATTTTCAATTTTTTTACCCAATAGTATTTTTTCTATGTATATCCCACATATTTAGGGATATATTTAACTATCCGAAAAACATATTTTCCCATCTCAGGCATTAACTTTCTTTTAGTATTGATCAGTACTTAAAGATGTGTTCACCTTAATTCCTCAACCCCGTTACGGACACTTTGAGGCCTTTCTGAATGTTATTATAAAATGAATTTAGAAAGAAATAAACATTTTCACATTATTCAGAAGTCCCCCATACTAATTCAATCATTTCAAAAAGAAAAATTACATAAAATAACACTTTATGCTTTCTTATATGCTGAAATGTGACAAATTGGTGAAAGCACTCACTCATTTTTCTTCAGAAATTCAGTTTAACTCAAGAATTGTAATCAAAATCAATTTCAAATGATAGCTCTTTATATTTGAAACAAAAGTCAATAGACATTAAATTATTTTATCAACATTTTAAAAAAATAATATGTGAAAATATAGGTGTGACGGGGTTGAGACTAACATAACAGGGTTGAAGATGGTAACAGGGTTGAAGGGACAAAAACGATTTTCTTTGTTTATTTCAGTGTTTAGGACTTTCTGTTGGCATTTCATTTTTTAACCATAGCAAAGACACCAGCTAAAATTGCTATTGAATTGAGCTTTAATATAAACCCAAAAACAACAACAACAAGAACAAAACAAAACGGCATAATAACAACAATAGAATATGAAGTGAGGTGACATTCCACGTCCCCAGAGCCAGTTTAAGCGCCCGCGGATCAGGTTGCCGAGGTCTCCGCCTCTGGCTGCCGCCCAATCCCCTTTGCACCGGTCCCTCATGGTTCCCCCTGCAGGTGGTGGGCCCACTGGGGGATGGCCTCGCGTCGCTCCTTCGGGCTGGGCCCGGCCGGGTCCCGCGAGGAAGAACCCGACCACCAGGCGCTCGCCGACGAACCCCAACCCCAGGCCTGGCTCCAGGGTGGGGTCACGGCTCCGCTGTACCGGGCGACGTCACGTGCCTCGTTTTAGTCCTCGTCATAAGGGTTTTTGAACCGCTCTTCGTCTGACCTGTCACCCAGAGCCTTGGGAGACCCTTCCAGGGGCATTTAGCCCCCGACAACATAGCCTCTGGGATCACCCAGGCACTGAAACCCATCCACCACGTTAAGGTGGCGACCGTGAAGGCATTCGACCGTGTCCCTCGTGCTGCCCTGTGGGGGGTGCTCCAGGAGTATGGAGTCGGGGGCCCTTTATTAGGGGCCATCCGTTCTCTGTACAAGCGGAGCAGGAGCCTGGTTCGCATTGCCGGCATTAAGTCGGACCTGTTCATAACTTTTATGGACAGGATTTCTAGGCGCAGCCAAGGACCGGAGGGGGTCTGGTTCGGGGAACAGCGGATCTCGTCCCTGCTTTTGCGGATGACGTAGTTCTGCTGGCTCCCTCCTGCCAAGACCTACAGCGTGCGCTGGGGCGGTTCGCAGCCGAGTGTGAAGCGGCCGGGATGAGAATCAGCTCCTCCAAATCCGAGGCCATGGTTCTCGACCGGAAAAAGGTGGCTTGTCCCCTTCAGGTTGGAGGAGAGTCCTTGCCTCAAGTGGAGGAGTTCAAGTATCTTGGGGTCCTGTTCACGAGTGAGGGAAGAATGGAGCGGGAAATTGATAGACGGATCGGTGCGGCTGCTGCAATAATGCGGACGCTGCACCGGACTGTGGTGGTGAAGAGAGAGCTGAGCGAAAAGGCAAAGCTCTCAATTTACCGGTCGCTCTACGTTCCTACCCTCACCTATGGTCATGAAATCTGGATCATGACCGAACTTCCATCACGAGCCATCAGTTCTCCTGGAGCCAGAGTAATGACCTGATGAATTCTCATTGTTGCGGGAACAGCTGGTATCTGCTTTGGCAGTTTCTCCATTGCTTCTTCGACATCTTCACTTTTCACAAAGAACAACTTGACACTTGTGTTTGTTTCAGACAAGGCTCTGAATAACTCTTCTGCATCTGGGATGTCCCGGCCCTTTGCCAGCATCTTGTCAGCTGCTCTTTCTAAGGCCCCCACAACACCATCTGGCGCTCCTTTTCCGTGACTAGCCTCAAAAAAATTCCAAGACCCAGCCTTGAATCCTCTTTTGTCAAGTTCTGTGGAGAAAAGGTAGAAGTTGCCTCGTTGTTTGTACTGGGTACAAGGTCCATCACTTAAAAAGTGCAGCACAGACACATGTGGAGGTTGGGCTTGAGGTAATCCAGCACAGGATTTAAATGCTGCCATATTGCTGGAGGGCCTTTATGCCTGCTGGGGGAGATGGTGCTGAAGCACACAGGCTCTGGGTGTCCACCAACATACAACACACCCGTATGAAGGGTGGCCTCTTGATGTGAAGCTCCAAAGTGAACGTTCTTGATCACTTCTTTCCTCTCCTTGCTCCTGTGGTAAGCTGCTCTCCACATTTATCTTTTCTTACGCTGTTCTCTTTCACTCAGTTCTTGAATTGGTTTCTTCTTCCCTGGCTCTACATTCTTTCTCCATCTCTCACGCTCACTCTGCAGGTATCTCTCCCTCCTTTCAGGATCAGCTTCAAGGCGTTCCCGATATTTCCTCTGCCTTTCTGCTGCTATTGTTGGTGCCACCTTACTCACAGCTTAACATGGAACATAAATCACATTCAGCATGCTAACAGTATAAAAATATTGATTGAATATAATAATAATCAATCTAAGTAATTGAATAACTTAACAACCAAAGTATTAAAATCTCAACCCCATCACACTATCACAACACCGTTATAATCAAACACATAACGGTGTTGAGTGTGACGGGGTTGAGATTTTTGCACAAAATGGCTTCTTCTCAATGTAGTGAATACAAGAAAGAGAGCACATGGAATGCATTAAATTCAGAATTTGCATATATTTTTGAAATAAAAAAGTTTTTTGTAAGAAGTAGATTTTTTTTATAAATTTTTAATGTTACGGTGTTAAGTCATTTAGTTTGACGACCACAGTATCACAAGATAAATGACCAAATTAGAGGAAAATAGGTGAGCACCTTGCCTGCCTCTGTGGTCCAGTTGTTCAAAAGACTTCAGTGATGTCACGTCCTGATGTATATGCAGCTGTGGATCATACCTTTCTTTCTATGGGGGTGAGATCATTTGTATAACGGGGTTGAGCGGTTGCTCAGGGACAGAAGTAATGTCATTTTAAATTAATATTTAATGATTAATTTAGAAAAAAAGAAACATCAACAACTAAAGAGCACAAACAGATCTTTACATTGATGTAAAAATTTATTGACTTTTTAAATAGTTTATTTAGGTATTTTCAAAGGAAACTTTCATCATTGCCATGAGGGACATGACAAAATAGGGGGGTCAAATGAAAAAACTGCATTATTTCTCATAAAAAAGATAGAATTTTAAATATTTTTTCATACTGTAGTAAATGGTATATTTCAGTCTAAATGTAAAGCTGTTAAAATATAAAGTTTAGTGATCCAATAGATGAAATACCCCTTAAGAGGTGAGAGGGACTCAACATGTGCCATTTCTATGGAATGACTCTAATAATTTCAGTAATTCAAATTCAATGTGTCGTTTAGGCCCAGCTGATTCACGACCGGAACACAGCATCTCATTCCGTGGTCAATGACAAAACAGATGGAGCCACGCCTGATCGTGTCCACATGACATGGACAAAAGACAAACTGCTCAATGAAAGGAACAAACATAGAGAAGGCATGGCAGTTAAGGACATGTTTAATATGAAACCGTAAGTAGAACCATCTCTGCTGCACAACACAAGTAAAAAGTACAACAGCTGATTTCTTCCCAAATATGATGGGTTCAACTTAATATTTGGTGTCTTTACCAACATTTATGCTGGAGGATCAGATTGTATCTTTAAACTGGATTGAAAAACTAAATACAGTTCTCCAATTCAGTTAAAACATTATATGAAATAATACATTTTAGGCTGCAAAATGTTTTATTTACAAATTGGATGTCCATTTTTTGTCTTTATTAGGTACATTTTCATGTAATATATTTTACTGGGATTCACTGCTGCAACAGTTATGAAAGAGTAAAGTAATAAGTTCTTATTTTGTTTACAATGCTGAATTTGTATTTTCCCTTTTGTTTCCTGCTCATCCAGTGAATGGGAGAATCTGTAAGTTGTTCCGTCTTTCTGTCTTTGGTTGTATGTGCTGAAATTGTTGCATGCAAGTTGCTGTAATTTACCTGGCATGAAAGGGGTTGCATGGCAGCAAAAACAGTCAATGATGGTGTGATATTAAATTACAGCTCAATGTAAGCTAATTTGCAAAAAGGATAATGTCAAGTGTGGCCATCTGCTATGTATTGCTTTATGTCCTAAGCACAGGCTTTTTTTTAGAGGCTGAAGGTTTTTCTTAGCAAAACTTTTATTGATGTCTTTAATTGCAGAAACCAGTCTAACGTCCGGAGGATGCACACAGCTGTTAAGCTGAATGAGGTGGTGGTGAAGAATTCCAAAAATTCCCAGTTGGTCCTGCTCAACATGCCAGGCCCACCAAAAAACAAAAAAGGCGACGAGAACTGTATCCTTTCAGACTGTTATATGATTCTTACATCTGTGTAATTTGATCATCTATCCATTAATACATTCTATATACCCACTCCTCTCTGCACGATCAGCAATGATTGGGCTAGAGGCAGGTACACCCTAAATAGGTCGCCATACATATTCAGTCATCTTCATGAGTAACTGCTGGTACCAGTAATCTTTGATTTCGTTTAAAATAGTTAATTTCCTTCTTCATCTGAATGAAAAAACATATTTATATCAACAGTTTAATTTAGCTGCATTTATTCGGTGTAAGATTATACTACTGCAATAAATTATCAAACTATTTGAAAGCTGTATTTTTCAGTGGCTACTGCCAATAGTGAAGTTCTTTAAAAACTACTGATACAAATAAACCAGCTGATGTGTACCATATGTCCTTAACCATGTGTTTCTCAGATATGGAGTTCCTGGAGGTTTTAATGGAAGGACTGGACCGCGTCTTGTTAGTTCGAGGGGGAGGTCGGGAGGTCATTACTATCTACTCTTAGCATAATCTAGCTTTGAATCACATCACATTTGGAGAAAACATGGGGCTGTGTGAACCCCGCCTAGAAGTCAAAGAATAAAACAGCACTAATGATGGGAATCATTGTCTTCAAGCTGTCGGATGGGGGGGGAAAGCAAGTTTCAGCTGGTGTTTTAGTTTCATGATCTTGCTCTATAGGAAGGGGAGTTAAATGCAGCAAGATGCTGAACTCAGGATACCCTCTATTTGTAAAAAAGCTCTCCATCCCTTCTAACAGGCAAATATTCTTCCTGAAAGACTTGCCATTTCATGCAATGCATGATTTATTGATGGCCATTTTCCTGAAGAGGAACATCTTCCTGTTTGCGCCCACATCTGAGTGATGTCACAGTGAGATGGAGACGAAATGAACGTTTTACTTCAGTGCCAGTTCCTAAAATGGTATTGATAATGAGCTAATCAGTTGTTTGGATGCCACTGTTTTTGTTGTCTTTGTTGACTATGTTGTTGTTATGACTTTGTGGACTGATTTGCCCTTTATTAGTTGAACAGTTTCTGTATATTAGCAAATCTTGTTTTAAATAGTTTTGAAGTTATTTTGTTAGAAAGCCACTTGTTGTTAGATACTTGTATTATTAAGACAAACTGACAGACTGTAATAGTAGTTGATTTTATTTACATTTACTGTTTAATTTTTAAAACCTCTTTTTTCTATTATTTCTAGAGCTTACAGGCTTCTGTAATAATTGAATTTTAGATGAAAAAATGTTAAAAGTAATAAATAAAAAACTATCAGCCTGAGCAATGTCAGTGTTTTTTTTTGTTTTTTTTTTGGATAAACTTTAAATTTCAATGAAGTATTAGTCTCTCTGAATGGGCTAATGGCCAACGATTCCCATTTCAAGTAGACTTGCCCTCTTTAGTAATAAAAACACCTCTAAGACTGACACACACTTTCCAACTGTCCACTAGTCATGGTGGCACTAGCAACCTTTTATTCTATTCTTAAATTTACAGATAAACCACTAAGGGAAAGAAGGAGTTGGTATCGAAATCATTTTATCAACAAAAAATGTTTTCAGTTTTAGAAGGTCTAAAATAAATTAGAATTATACATTTTAAACTGTTTGAAAAAAAGCCATTTAAGAATTGAAAGGTGTTTGAATACATTAGTTAAAACTCAAAATCATGCACTTAATTCAGTGTACTGAAAAACTTTCAAGAAATACCTGTTTAGAAGTGTCCCAGCATGTAAAGAAAGGACAGACAGATTTTACTTTTATTAATTACAACTATTAGAGCTCAATGGTTTCTAGCAGTTGACCTAATCTTGTCTGACAAGAGCTGAATTGTTGTCATTCGTTACATAACTTGTCTGGCTTCACTTTCCAAAAATCAATTTAATCCTTAAATAATTGTTTGTTGGATCACAAAGGAACAAAGAAAATCTTAGAGCTTCAGTAAGAAATGTGACAGCAGACTTGGCCCACGATAAATGGCTTCCTGTTTGCCTCAGAGAGTGGTTAGTTGGGTCAGCACGCACACAGCAGCAGTAACAACCTACACGGCTACTGTAGATGCTGTCTCTCCAACAACTCTCCAACTTACCTACATTATTTTTATTTTAAATTACTAAGAATTAGATAACAAGATACATGAGGATTTAATCTTGCTGAATTACAATATGAGCCTATAAAAAACACATTGTAAATTGATTTCTATAGATACCTTCAGGTACGACATCATCCATACAGTTCTATGCCAAAATATCGAAAAGCATTTAACAACTGTCTGTCAAAAATAATTATCAGTTTTAATATGAAAGACTCCAGACAGAATGTTGTCTCTAAACTTTATATGGAACCTGAAGACCTAAACACAAGTGTCACTTAGAAAAATCGTACTGGTAAGCCAACAGCCAGATGTTACAATAAAGCAAATCATTACCTCACTGACCCAAAATCTGAACTTTCTGGTGGAAGATTTTACAGATCTAGTCATTGTAAAGTTGTCAAAAGATCTGTCCAGACTTCAAATTAAGAATTCTTACCATAAGACACAAAAAAAAAAAAAACAGCCCAAGGCCATTGTTTTATTGAGGATAGTGAAATTTGGTAAACATGTATAAGCCACCAGGGCACAAAAATTTATTTCTTGGATCAGTGGGCCCATAGGAAGTTGACCATTTTGGATCAAAGATGCCATTTTCTCTCATTTACTGATTTTCTATCTGAACAAACTCCTCATAGAGCTTTTAAATTAAAGATTTCGACTTCACTATGCTTAGACTTTACACAACTCAGATCAAAAGTTATCAAAATAAAATTTTCTACATCAATTCATGTGGCCGTTGCAAAGAATCAAAATCTGACTTCTTGTCTAGACACACCATTGTTATATTAGTTTGAGATGCAGTCAAAAGACAAAAGTACAAATTTTTCTGTCATCTCAGACCAGCATTCATCACATACAGATCCCCATTTGATGACGTCATTTCAGCCCCGCCCCCTGAGAACAGACAAACTGATGTTTTATTGATGAAAATGGAAATTAAACTGCCAGAACCGCTGTTGAGCAGGTTGTATTTCGGCCTAATTGGCATAGGCATGGGGGTGGCGATGCGTGGCTGAGTGGCGCTGAGCTGTGAGGGTCGCCCAATGCCGCTTGTGGCTTTAATTGTATTTGGAACAATTGCCTATTTGGGTTTATACGGTCACCTAGTGAGAGTTTCAATAACAAAATACTGAGTTTAGCTGCAAGAAGAGCTAACAGACAATGGCTTAAACATGACCTCCCAAGTATATATGAATGATATATTATTTAATGAATAATTGCAAGGGAAACAATCAGTTTTTCAATGATATTTCAGCTATTCAAATTCGAAGACATCTGAATGAAATGGAAATTGTATAGAGGAAACTGGGGAACATTTATAACATCTGTCTTTCTCCAATCAGAAACATACTGTTTTGATGACATTAATATTCCAAATGCTTAGTTGGACCCTCCCCTTTACCATCAAGGCAGAAGATAAACTAAGGATCATCTTCTAAGATATTTGGACAAGCATGTTTTTGAGGTGTAAAACAATTTTTTTGATAAGGTGTATTTTATACTTCATACTGTCCTGGCCAGGGTAGCATATATTTACAACTTGGATCAAATCATTATTGCTTTACTTCTAAGTTATATTGTTATCATGATCTAACATATTTCTGTCTAGCTAGCACATAGAACTGTCCCCAACCTTGAAAGCTACTCAAGATCCACAGAAGTGTGGCTGCAATGTTGGAATGGCGAGTCAAAGGTACATAAAGATTGCACGGCAACGTATGTAAAAACTCTCACTCTATGCCTCTTATGAGACTACTGTAATCCTCTCCCTAAGTTATTCATCCAAGCTCGTGCCAAATCACAGCATATGTTTTTTTCCTGCCAGGGTCCAAGAGCCAAAAAACGTATTTCACTCACGTCAAATATAAAATTTCTAAGTGCTCTCTCCATCTTGAAATGAAACTTTAGCGTAAATTCGGTTTGGAACTCTTTATCAGTCTCGTCTGAACCCACTCATGCCTCACTCAAGCTCCTGTCAATTGAAGATGGACCACACCCCCTCCAAAGCCAATAATCATGCTTGCTTCTGTCAGTTTTTCTGCTTCTGTCTCCTTGAACCCCAGTCGGCTTCGACAGATGGCCGCTCAGCCTGGTTCTGCTGGAGGTTTCTTCCTGTTAAAAGTTCTTTTTCCTCTCCACTGTCGCTACAAGCAACTTGCCGTAGTTATTTTCGAGCGTAATGGGCGATCTCGCAATCGCTAGTTTGTTGCCTCTGCGCTTGCCGTAGCGCAAAGATGTCAGCCTCCATGGCTGCGAGACCCGCTCCTATGTAATTATAAATAACGAATTCTAAGGCAACGCAAATATTATGGTTAAATGGCTGAGCTCATAGGTGATGATAAATAACATAGTTATGTATAATATATTAAATTTCTGACTTTATATCCCTGTAATTATTACACACTGTAGCTTTAAAGATAAAAGGTGATTTTTTTTTTATTTTTTTTTTAGAAAACTGGACTTCCCAGTAATCACATGGAAGTATCCTACCCAGTCAGTGATCTATTCTATATCTAAAAATATTTTGTGGGCGTATTTTATGAGAAATACCTGATAGGTAAACTTTAAGTACATGTGACAAACATTTTATGTAACTTTTAAGCTTGAAAAGAAGGTTGCAAAAATAATACATAGTGACTTGAAATATTTAAACATGAGCTGTGCTGCAGCCTAAAACCTAATATTTTGATTGTTCGCACATGGTTCTAATCCTGTATTGACTCAACAATCTAGATGCAAAAACAACATATTTTTTCCAACTTATAACAGTTAGATAAACACAATACCTGTAAAGATAAGCATTGATACATGGTTGTCATTTCTGTGAAAAAAAAGTGTTCCCCTTTGCTGCTATAAATTAGATGAGTTTTATACGACTTTCATTTTGTAGCAAATCGTTACTTTACTAGAGAAGCTTTACACATTTCAGTTTGCAGAGCTTTTTTTTAAATCAGGAAGTGATTGTAACCACAGGCTTCCTTGGAAAAAGTAATAAACTTCTCTATATAAATACCAAGTTAAAAAACATAAGCAGCAGACTAAACGAGGTGCTCTTTAAGGTTGTAGACATTTAAAATCCTACTAATGGTGGATAACTTTCTTCATTTTACAGAAATCCAAATTTCTTGATATTAGCAACTGAAGGTAGTCTGAAAAATATCGAGACAAAAGTAAACTCCTGTGGTAAAGCAAGTTCACGTAAAAAAACAAATATCTAGCAGGGCATGTAAGTCCAATTTTTTATTATCATTAGTCATTTTAAGATGGAAAAATAAAGGAAAGAGGTAGCATGTAATAGAAAGGCTAGTCATCGTATCGGAAATTGGAGAAATCTAAAGCATTTCCAGTCACAGCAAGTATGTCTCTTTTTTCCATTCTAGGTCTTTTTTCCTTGCTAAAAAAAAATAACATCTTCTGATCTATCAGAACATTTCGTACACAAAAAGTTAATGACAATATTAATCAAAATGATCTGTAATTTTTTTTTATGTACATATATATAGCACAATGGTTTAAAGGATTAGAAATTAGTGTTCCATAAAGGATGCCGACATTTTAGAGTTAAAATTTCAGGAGACCAATTTGGTCTTGATACCTGCTGATCTAGCTGTTAGCCTTAGCCTCTGGGACCATTTAAACTTTCATACAGAAAAAAAGATTCAAG